GTGGGTGCTGGAAATCAAACCCAGGTTCTCTGCAAGAGCAGCAAGCATTCTCATCCACTGAGCCATCACTGCAGCTTCTTATATTAAATTACTATTAATAAAATATTCTCATTTCTGAATTCCATGGCGTTAATATTATTCATTCTTGGGTATTCCCTGTAGTATCACTTCCAAAGTAGTTTATTTATTTGCTTATTTAAGGCAGAGTTTCACTGTGTAACCGTGCATTGTCTGAACACACAGAGATTTGGCTACCTCTACCTCCCAAAAGTTGAAATTAAAGGTATGGACCACCACCTCTGGCCATTATTATTGAAAATCTTATCATCAGTGTTTCCCAAGACAATGCTTACCTCGGAGGCAGATTTTGGAGTCAACCTGGAGGGATATCTATATCTGAATCTGCTTCTGGTACTTAACAGACATGGAAGAATGAGAAAAATACATGCATTCTCTAAACTTCTTCAAACAGACCAACACACCACAGTAGTAAAGACCTGGTGTGAACAACTGGCAGCCGCCAGATACTGCAAAGGCATTCAATACGTGAGTCAGAAAAGTGCAGGCTACCTTTGTTCCCGTGATCTTAATTTGTTGATTATTTCGTACATTGACATACTTAACATGCATTTTTGCAATGTGAAGCTAAGATTTCTAGGCTATTAAAAAATACTGAACAAAATCCTAATACACTCTGAATTGTTGGTCAGCGGAGTCCAAGAGATTCCCAAAACAACATAGATCATTTCTGTTGACCTTGGTTGCCTCCCAGAGGTTTATGGTAGGTCCCCTGTTGTTGAAGACAAGCACTTCCGAGGCCGGACCCAAAGGACCCGAGCTAGATCTGATCTGAAAGATTCCTCTCAGAGGACTAGTTTTCATAGCTCTGGAAGGCACTATGCAAGTGTCCGAGAGAGAAGCAACCCTACCCAGCTGGGATGCCTATAAACCACAACAGCTACCACCATGGCATGGCAACCCTAGTGGCACTCATCTTGGTGGTAATCAACCAACTCTGATTGGTCTTAAGGCCCCTCACCAGGAGGGAACTCACGCCTGGTAATGGAGACCAAGTCAAGTACCCAGGGTTAGTAAGGTCACGGATCTTGGAGGAAAACCTAGTCCTGCATCCTTACACCCACAGGGGAGTGGGGCTCTCACCGTCATCAAAGGAGTGTCCGTTTGCAATAGGCAGATACCAGAGCAGAAAACCACAACTTGTCAAAATTCAGAGAACAAAGAATCTCGAGATGCCCAGCCTCAGTTGCTCAATCTACAACACAACTCCTGCGCCTAAGGCTCGGGAACCACCAAGGAAGGGGAGGCAGAAGACTGTAGAAGCTGAAGGACCAGAAATCCGCTGTGAAGCTGTGTCTTCTAAAAACCCATGATTCCTCACGCTTTGATATGATGATGTTGGTTGTTTTGCTCTTTGGGGGCCCCACCCAGCTCCCAAACAAATACACACAGAGACTTGTTATTACGTATGAATATCTGGCCTTAGCTTGGTTTGTTTCTAGCTAGCTTTTCTTAACTTAAACAGCCCCATCTATCTTTTTGCCCCTCGGTTTTTTACTCTTCTCTCTCTCTCTCTCTCTCTCTCTCTCTCTCTCTCTCTCTCTCTCTCTATTTTGCCATGGATGTCAGGCCCCCTGGACCTGGAATTACAGACAGTGGTGAGCAGTCATGTGGGTACTGGGAACTGAGCCGTGGTCCTCTCCTCCTCTTTCTCACTCCTCGATCCTCTCTTGATTTTTTCCCCCTTCTTTTATTTATCCTCTCTGCCTACCAGTCCCACCTCTCCTTTCTCCTGCCTTACTATTGGTCATTCAGCTCTTTATTAGACAGGTGTTTTAAACAGGTAAAGAGACATAACATCACAGAGCTAAACAAATGTAACATCTTTGCATTATTAAACAAATGTTCCAGAACATAAACAAATGTAACACATCTTCAAATAATATTCTACAGCATTATGCTAACAGGGAGGGGGAAGTGTCACAGGCCCACCCCTGGGCAAAGGATGCAGGCAACTAAAGAATGCTGAAAGCAAGAGAAATTTCTCCAGCAGTGAGCTTCCTGTTGGTTAGACTGTATCAACTGGTCAGCCCTAAAATCATATACATACAACAACACTAAAGGGACTGAGCACACGTACATTTAGACACATGTATGTGCGTATGTTACACAAAAACACATATATACATAGACAAGTATAACAATAACAAAGAAGAAAAAGGCCATGAATTTGTGATGGAGGGGAGAGAACGTGGGAGGATTTAGAGGGTAGAAAGTGAAGTAAATTCAATATCTAAATATGATGAATGTTGGAAGCACACCCTTTGGAGTGCTTTGTTGCATACATCTCTTAGAATGAATTCTCTAATGTCCTATAACACTTTGGAAAAAATTCAAAGTGTTGTTTGTAAGATTTACTTTGTAAAACTTTGTAGGTTGGGTGTCTGAAAGTTACATGGAGAAAGCTTCAATGGCAGTCCTCCAACCCACTAGAGCAATTGTTATAAACATATCTCAACCTAAAACCAAGAAACCCAATATTTTGCCAGGCAGAGCCTCATGCAAAAGTCTTGTAAGTCAGGCACTCATGAGCTTGAAGCTCTGCCAGGTCACTTCCTGCCTATCTGATCTTTGTCAATTTATATACTAAACCTGGAGATCTTTGTCCATTAAGTTAGAATAATGAGAATCCCTGTTCTGGGGTCGTCCTGAGGGTTAAAGGAGGCATCACACACAGAGAGCACAATGTGTGAGATTTACAAAATCTTCAAACTCAAAAGTTAAGATATATTTTGTTTAAAAAATGGTAATAAGCTGGGTGTGGTGGAGCACACCTTTAATCCTAGCACTCAGGAGGCTGAGACAGGCGGATGTCTGTGTTCAAGGCCAGCCTGGTCTACAAAGTAGGTTTCAGGACAGCCACAAGCTTCAGAGAAACCCTGTCTCGATTAATCCAAACCAAACAAATAAAAATGGTAATAGTAAAAATGCAAAAATTTAATTTCCCTGAGCCTTAAATAACAAATCATGAAATCTTGCCTTGATATTTTCTCCTGTATCCAAGTTCTTTTTCTTCTCTTATTACTCATGAATACATCTTCCGCACTAGGATCTCTCAATGGATTTCTGCCCAAGTCCTACAACCAGGTAGTGATGGGGGAAGAGTGGTGGGCATAAGGTCTTCTAACAAATTAATGCAATGGCTTGGGATCTTGCTTTCTTTTTCAAGACCCTGCTTGGTTCCCTATGGAGCCTATTAACTCAGATGCTCTTTAATTTCCTTGCTTAAAGTCTGAAGACAGTGACAGCTAACATTTAGTGCTTTTAATAGTGACATACTACGCGAGGTTGATTGCAAACGGTATTTTGTCTCTTTTGACAAATAAAGGCAGAGATTGGCATTCTTGTTCCTGTGATGGGTAGGCAAAAGCCCCCACTCCGCCATTTGCTAAGGTGGCAGTGGCAGCACCTTCTCCAGGAAGATATCAGTTATAAAATTAATTTGGTTACTTTGATCAACAGAATCTCAGGAACTGAAGGATGAATAAACTGGCTTTTCTTCAATCTTAGTAATTTGTTTAATTTCCTCCGAAGAATAGGGAATTTTTGTTTTACAGAACAAAGTCAATATTGTTATCAATGGACGGGAAAGGTATGGAGTTGGTGAAATAGTGTCTTCCACTGAAGGTAGTTTCTTGTACCTAAGTACCGAATTCTGAAGTCATTCCGAAAGTAGTCCAGCTTTCGGTGTATTTTGGAGAAACTTGTACCACACTAGCCATTTAAAGTCAAGCAATTGGGCAACTCTTAACCACGTGCCCTGCGCAGGTTTCCATCTCCGAGTTTGCAGAATCTCTGCATCTCTAAAGCCCTGCCCCATCCCAGCTGTTTGCACGACTCCAGGAAGCTCCTGGATAAACCTCGTGTAAGGATTCACTAGCTAGCTGCCCGCTCCCATCTGCACCCTAATTCTACCCAGGCTCCCTCTATTCTCTTTCACGCACACTCAAAGACGGGCACCAGTCCCTTAGCCCGGTCTCCAGTTCTGGCCAGAGAAACCAGAGGGCGGTAGGCGATCGGCGGCGCGCACGAAGACGCGCGGGCCGGGGCGGGGACAGCGTGCGGCGTCGGGGGCGGGCGCAGGCTGCGTCTCTGTGCAGCTCGCCTTTGTTCTCTGCCATTGTGAGGCACTTCCTCCTCTGGCTCTTCATTTCTGCACCGCATGGGGAATTCGGAAGGGGCTTTTGGGGTTTACTTTTGGGTATGTGACGCTGTCCTGTGCTTGGCCTCTCCCTCGCTGCCCTCCTTCCCATGCTTGTTGGGGAGGCCGAGCCGCTTGCTCCCCCACACCCCGACGGCTGCGCCGCCACTCAACCGGCTGCACCGCAGGAGGCATCCCAACCCAGCACCAGGGATCGCACCTCCCGATCGGCCACCGGGGCGGCGACCCGTTCCCTCGGATGCGCACAGGGTCCGGGCACCAGCGGCCCGGGAAGAGTCCCGCAGCGTGGGTCGGAGGCCAGCGCGCAGCCCAAGCCCGGGCGCCCCGGCTCCCAGGAGCCAGCGCTAGTGTCGCAGCGACCCTGCCCAGCGCGATCAAGCTCCCCGGCCGCAAGGCGGCCGCCTCAGCCCCCTTATATAGCCCTCTAAAAATAGCTTGCCTCGCACCGCCTTGTAAGGCAGCAGGGAGATCCGCAGCGCGCCAATCGGAGGCCGCTGTCGGGGCCAGGCCCCGCCTCAGGGCCCGCTCCGAGAGCCGCATTGGTCCTCAGTGACTTCATGAGCCCCCTGTTTACCTTACATGGTCACACGCGGCCTAATGGACGCCCTCCTCCGAGATCCCACGGCTGCGCGCAGAGCCCGGCGGAGGGAGGGAGTTTGGGGAGGGGGAAGAGCAGGAGGAGGAGACAAGGGGGGGGGGGCCCACAAACCAGCGGGGAATGGGGTGGGGGGTGGGGAGGGAAGGGAAGGGGTGGGGGGGAGAGAAGCGATCGCGAGAAAAAAAATGCAACCTCCCAAAATAAAGAGCAAAGATTGCATTAGGAGCGAACAGCGCTGCAGATATAGATGGCAGCTTCGTGTCAGTGAGTTTGCGTCCCCTTTCCTGATCCACGAACTGGAGTGATTAGAGCCCTGGAAGGGAATCGTTACTCCCGTGAAGTCCCCTTTTCCTGGCAGTCATCTGCACTGTACACGCTGGATCCCTCGCTCCATCCACCCCACTCACTCGCTCCTCTCTCACCTCCTCTCTCCCTCTCTCCTGCATTGATTTTTTTTCTCTCCTTTTTTTAGTTGACTGAAACAAAACAAAACAAAAGGGCCACTGGATGTCTGCCTTCTTGGGGGGTGAGCCAGACAGACTGACAAACAAACAGACCCAGCTGAGCTCGGGGGAGGGTTTCTCCTCCGGTTTTGCCCGGCAGCAGCAGCATGGACGTGTTGGCTAGTTATAGTATATTCCAGGAGCTACAACTTGTCCACGACACCGGCTACTTCTCAGCTTTGCCATCCCTGGAGGAGACCTGGCAGCAGGTGAATGATTTAAATTACTTGTGTAAATCGTGTTGCGGCGGCGGAGACGCGGGGGCTGCGTTGGTGTGGGCTTTGCATTGAATTTTTAAATTTTTTCTTATTTTCTTATTTATTTTTTGTCTGTGTGTTGTTTAAAATGTTTTCTGAAACAATCATATGCGCTTACCTCTCCACCCACCCCTAACCCCTTAGTGTGCTGAGCTGAGCCGGTCCTAGCTGCCTGCGTTTCTGTCACCAACACACATCCTTGCGCACACGTTGTCGGGCTCACTGTCCCCCAGCAGAGACCTGCTGGTGAACTTCTGGGGTTTAGAGGAGCCAGGTGGGAAGGTGGTTGAGCAATGGTTGACAGGATGCCACGCTCCCAAATTCAGGAGTTCTGACCTTCTTAGTACTTAAATCAGGCTCGTCTATTTCAACTGGTGCTGAGGACCAGTCAGCTCTCTCTGTGTGTGTGTGTGTGGGGGGGGTCAGAGTGTTTTCCCCAGTTATTTAGCGAGTGTCAATAAAGAACAGGAGCTTGATTTTTAGATTAGTAAGTGAGCTGTAGAAATAGAAGCCAGGTGACAAAAGATGCCTAAGGATATGTACAAGGAGGATGGGAAGATGGATCTTAGGCTGACAACGCATTGTAGGTTTCCTCAGCTAACGCCTCCAGAACGAACAGCCAATACCGTGTCCTTGTTTTCTTTTTTGTTTGAGGTGCCTCTCAGGTTAGCACTACCTTGGACAAAGGGTGGTGTGTGCTTCCTTGCTTCCGACTTTGTCCTAGAGGACTAGTTGAGAGACTCCTAGGGTGCTGAAGGGTACCGGTGCCAAGTTGGCTTGGCATGGGAGTGAGGTTGAAGCCTGACTGGGGACAAGTTTACGGGGCTTTGTGAAGTGGAATAAAGAAAGTGCTGGTCAGTGGAAAGTGCTGGGTCTGCTGCGGAAGCAGTGGTTTTTCCAGCACCGATTAGGAGCTGCTGAGGGGACATTCTGCAGGAAAGATGGTGGTAGGTGGGGGCAGGGCGGCTGGGGAGAGGGGACACGATGGAAAGTGGAAAGTCCAGGAAGACCGTCCAGATTTGGAAGTCAGGAGTGTGAACTTGGACAGTTCATCCGAGAGAAGACCACTTGCCCTTGGGGAGGGCTGTGCGATCCTTGGTGTGTGGCTGCTCCTGTAACTTCCCTGCTCCGTGACAGCAGCTTGTTAAGGCTAATGAACGGCTGGGTTTTCTCTGCCAGGATCGAAAGCAGGATTTGCCAGCTTGAGGCTGGGGTGTAACAGTTGCCGCTTTAGGAAGAGATGTTTACCTCGTGGTATAAGGAGCCAGTGGCAAAGCCCTTGCTCTTCAGACGGTGCCATTGTTACTAGTTGTTCTCGCTTGGCTAGAAGCTGTGAGTTTTCCTCCAGGTATTGGTGGCCTGTGTCTGTGAGTCTGTGCAGGGCATGCATTCCAATCGGAAGACTGGAAGACCTTCGCGGTTGCTGTCCTTTGCTAAAAACACTCAGCCACACCAAAAAGGAGCATGCATCCTTTCCTTTCATCCTTAGCAAGACTAGGTCACATGAAGGAGCTCACTACATCCCTTTCCTCCTTTTCATTTCCCTTGTGAAGTAAGCCAAAATGTTGCCAGAATTTCATTTTCTGAGCAGCCTTCTTTTCTCCCTATCAGCCCATTGGTGTGGAGTCAGTGGCGTATTAACAACCGTCTAGACTGGTTAGGGAAGGGAATCTGTTGATTTAGTCAGCCTGCCCCAGGCAGCCCTTGTTTGCAACTAGCTGGTTAGTGTTGGAGGGAAGAAAGTTGGCTTTATTTGTTACAACATTCCCTCCTGATGAATCACACAACTTTGTTTTGGTTCAAGTTTTCAAGGTAGTAAAGCCTGCTCGTGGAGCCGGGTGGGCTCTTTAGAGGATACCTGCTTTTCTAGATCTGCCTAAAGAATCCAGAAGGTACAGCTTCAAGGAACCATCATTGGCTTGACAATTAGGGGATGCATTAGATCTATTGTTTCCTCAGAAGCCAGCTCTGCTCTTCCTCTCCCCCTCCTCCTCCCTCCTCCATCTCCCTCCTCCCGCTTCTAGAAACCTCTAGCTTAGTGGGTTTTTTTTTAATGGCTAGGCAAAGGAATTCTCATGTCCTCTCTTATTTCTTGCCTCAACTGTCTCCAACTGCCGTCTTCTGTCATCTTAAAATCCTTCTCCAAGTCCACATGGAAACATAACTTGTGGGCAAGCACTTGTAAACAGAGTACCAGGGCCAGGAGCTCCCTGCGCCCGACCCTATGCACAGCTGCTCTGTATAGAGGTAACTAGGACCTGAGTTCATGCTGGTGACAAAACCTTAGCCTTTATCTCTTCCTTCCTCCCCCTCCCAAGCCCCCTTGCTTCTGAGTCTAAGGGGTACTGGTGGTTTTATGCAACTGTTAGTTCACAATTAACCAGATGGTGAAATTTTAAGACTCCTTTGCTCAAAACAGCTCAAGAAGGTTGCTACAGAAACCCAGGCAGGAGGAAGCTGCCCGATGGTGCTATGGGACAGTCGGAGTCTAGAGGTCAAATGAGGAATCATTATTAGATGTTTTTCTTAAAGTGTACAATATACCTGGCCTCGGGGACGTGCGGGAAATAGGGGTACTGATAATCTCATTTGGTTTCTAGAGAATGGTTTTGGATGATAAATCCAAGAACACCTGTGCATTGGAAAATTGAGGAGGTGCTGTTTGTCTTCAAACTTAGGCTGTGGGATAGTTTCCTGTGTGTGTGAGCCTGTGAGAAAGACACTTTGACATGGATACTTAGGCAGTGAGAGTCAACCAGAGTTCCAGCTCCCAAAGTTGTTGTTGGTGTAACTAAAAATCCACATGGACACCCCAGATAAGCAGCCCTCCACCTCTGGCCCCTAACTGCGTGCTTAGGCTCCTGGCCCACGTAAGATCATGTCTGCCTGTCATATAGCTGTAAATCATGCATGTGTGCTTATGTGGTCTATTATTCCGGGGGATTCAGCTGATACAACTCTGAAGGCTACCAACCTTAAGCTCTCGAAAAACCTTCAGGAAATATTTCAGAAGCTGTTTGGACAAAAGTTGAAAACAGTCAAGGCTAGGACAGAAGCTAGAGTAAAATGTAGGGGACCATTTGATGGCAAAGCGAGGTATATCCATAAAGTCAGGAGAAGTCGGACTCTTTGAACTGACTGCTGACTCAGAAAATAAAAAGCTTTTCATATAGGACATTCATTTTCTTCCAGACCCTATAGAGACTTAGAATTTTTATAGATTCTTTATTCCCGGCATGCTGTTTCACGAGGGCAGTCCCGAGTAATGATAACAAGTATTATTTGCACTTAACTTTGCTACATGTCATTGAGAAGCATGGCATGCTTGCTTGAAAACTCTTATGGAATTATGTTCATTGTTAATGCTGATTCATAATTGGCAAATGGGGTCAATTTCAGGCCTCTCTTTTGCTTGGAGAAAATTTTCCACTGCTACTGGAAACAGATAAATAAATCATAGAACATCCTTCCCTCCTCCTCCTCCATCCCCCGTTGTTTTAAACTAATGGCAATCTTGGCTTCTGTGAGGACTAAAGTGTCCCCATAACTCTGCAATTTCATCTTGGTTTCGGGCGTTCTGAAACACTTTTTATGAGGGCTTTTGGTATGGGGCATCTCTAGGGAGAAAACCTACAGAAATGGTTGCCTTCAGGAACAGCCTCATGGTACCAGAGCTGGGATTTGGTGTGTGAGGAGATCTTGCATTGCCTCCCACGGACCTGGGCAGCCAGGTGCTACCTCAAGCAGCAAGACAAAGCAAACTGCAGGATCTGTCCATCTGCAGGTTTGCCACTGTCCCAATTTGCAGGAAACCTTATCATGAATTAGAATTTCTTGGCAACAGCACCACCCTGAGAAATTTGTAGACACAAAGGAGCCTTGGCAACCACGCTGAAAGGATGAAATAGCTGGCTTTTTTTTTTTGTTATGTGATTTGTGTGTTCGTCAGTTACTGTAAATCTATTTCTTTATTTGAAACAGTGTCTTGGTAGAAAAAAAATCAGAACTGCATGATTATGAATATTTTCTGTATCAATGCAGTCGCTGAGTGCATGTGGCTTTAAAAATGAGAGCACATGTGAGTGCCATCAATCACACACTTAGCCTTTTTGTAATAGATCCATCCACTTTTATGTTCTTTTAATAGACACGTCTTCGTGTGGCTTAGGGACTCGCACACATAATCATTCAGTCTACCTGTTTGCAGTTTGGTATTTTAAAGTAAGCAACGATCTCAGTGCAGATACTGGTACTACACCTGTCCTCAGTAAGGGAAAGGAACCCGCTAGTCTTTGTTCTCATGCATCTCACACTGCTCACCACTGTGAGGAGACAGGGATGTTGGGTTCCCTTCCATTTAAAAGGCAAAGTGGAAGATACTGAGTGACAGCTTTGCCCTGAGATGATTTATGGGTGGGTATATTAGAGACCTTAAGTGTTCCAATGTGTCTCTTCTCTCCCAGCCCCCTTCTAGATAAAAATGCCTATTGAGGCTAATTTGCCTCCTCTTAAATGGGGATAGTTTAGAGAGGGTCAGAATGGAGCTTTTAATAGCCATTCTCTTATGACTCTTCAAGTTCTCCCTTCACAGAATCCCTTTTATTTTAGCTGTTGGAGTATAGGCTCCACTTCCTTTGTGCAGTCCCAGCTAGCTCATGGCGGTAGGGTACCTCCCCCAATATTTGACCTGCTAGTTGGTAGATGTACCTGTCTGGAGTTTTTAGTCGTTCTTTCTGGACCTGTTACTGGTGAGTGTATACAATGCCTCCATGGTGCTGGCTCACCTCCTTGGAAGTAGCACACATGTTGGAGCTGGGATTTGCTGAAAGTTTAGGACAGCTCCCCGACTTGACATGAACCATGCCAGAGACTTTGTGTCCTACCAGTCCCTTTGTTCTGTTGAACCAGCTAAGTTCTTGCTTGTCATAAACAGGTGGAAATGTGTTAGCCAA